TCATTTTATATTAGAATTTCTAGTTCAGCAAAAAAACTATAAGATTAATATTTTTACTATAATTCTAGTATAGTTTATAACCACTTCTCAATACTTTCAACTAACATTTATAGTTTATCTTGAGTAAAAGTTTGAAGCATTATTAAACTTTCTTACAATTATCTAACTTAGTCAAAATTAGAATGTAAATTGTTTTAAATTCTAAATAATTTTTTATTCTAATTTTCTTCAATCATCTTGATGACTTTAGCTATCCCTATCATTTTTTTATTTGATTCAAATTCAGCTAAGCATGATGGACATAAAAGTCTTTAATTGTTGTTCAAATTTTGGTCAAATACAACCATGCATACAGGCAATTGATGTTAACATTAAGAAATGAAATCTGATTCTTTTTCTATCATTTTTGCTTTCATCATTAATATTAAATCTATAAGTTCTATTATTAATATTGTTATTTTAATTTTGAGAATGTAATTAAAAAAATGATTCTATCTTTAGAGACTAGTGAATTTGATTGGAAATGATATCTATTAACAAAATCATAACCAATGATAAAGCAATTGAATGCATTCCAGAAATCCAAGATTGAAATATAAATATATATAGAAAAAATTTCACCTTTAGCTTAATTACATGATCTTTTATCTTTTAAACACAATCCCTAAATAAATTTAATGAAATATTTAAGATTAAAGAAAAAGAAAGTTATAGAAAGATTATGTTATACATAAGCTTAATTTTATTTAGAATCTACAACATATAATTTCCATTAGAATATCGTATAGTTTTATTTCACACATGCAGTTAAAACTCAAACCTTGATGCCATTAGTTTATGCTATTTAAAATTCAAACTTTCTAGATAGGTCTTTGTTGTTATTATTATAAATAGGCTTTAAAGCTTTTATAAAAATCAAGTTCGTTCCAATCTAATAGAATAAAAAAATGTCTTTATTTTTTGATTAATATTTCTTATTAATAATTTATATGATAAGAATTTTACATATAGAAACTTCATTTTATTTTAATTCAATTCTTTAAATACTTTATCTAATACTCTATAGTCATCTATATCTAGCTATATTGTAAAAATCTTCTTATAACTCAAATTATTAAAAGTAGAGTGCTTAATTTTATATTTTATACATCGTTAATATTATTATTTTAATTAGTATTGTCAAAAGTATAAATTCATATATTTTAGGGTTTTTGAACCATTCCTGTCCTTAACCCATCATCCTATCAAATAAAATTTTGATCTTATATCATTATTTTAAAACATTTATCAATTATTTTATTTTAATAACTTTAGTTCTAAGAACCAAATTTATCATTTTTAATACAAATTAATCTAAAAGTCACCCTACTAATTATGAAAATATTTATTTGTTAGTTGAACTTGGCTTACTCAAATTTAGTCTTAGAAACAGTTTTTAATGTCCCTTATAGAAATTCTATTTTCATTAATAATGAAAGTAAATTTATCCAAATTATTTCTCATAAATTGATTTCTGGTTTAAATAATTTTCTGTAAATTATAATTTAGTAATACATATTTTAAAGGACTCTATTTTTAGAATTAGATTGGTAAACTATAATTTTAGTAGATATCCTCTTTGAATATCTAAAATTAAAAATATATGTGTATAAAAAGATAATATAAACTAATATAAATATTTATGGAAAAATTACTATAAATCTCACAATAAGTTAGAGAAGCAATTGAAAAAGGTTAGGCAGTAGTGGCATTGGAATCAACAATAATAACACATGGAATGGAGTATCCTACTAATGTTTAGACTGCTTTGGGAGTTGAAGAGGAAATTAGAGCCTAAGGGGCAATTCCTGCAACAATAATTATAACTCAAGGAGTTCTTCGAGTAGGTTTAAGTTAAGAGGAGATTGAAGAGATTGGAAAAAATAAACATTAGTATTAGAAATGCTCAAGAAGAGACTTGGCATAAATAATTGCATAAAAAGGAAATGGAAGTACAACTGTGGCTGCAACAATGATGATTGCTCATATGGCAGGAATAAAAGTGTTTGTTACAGGAGGAATCGGAGGAGTGCATAGAGGAGCAGAACACACTTTTGACATCTCTGCAGATCTAGTTGAATTAGGCCAACCTCAAGTAGCAGTTGTTTGTGCAGGTGCTAAATCAATTTTAGGCATTCCAAAAACATTAGAGTATTTGGAAACACAAGGTGTGCCAGTCGTTGGATATAAAACTAAGCATTTTCCTAACTTTTTCACTCCTGATTTCCGGTTTTTTTTGTAGTACATCTGTCAAATCCAGTCAAGAAGCTAGTGAATTAATTAAAGCACAATTCGATTTATTAAAACTGAAGAATGGTATTCTCTTTTGTGTCCCAATACCTCAAGATTAAGCAGCAGATGGCTAAATTGTATAATAGGCTATTGACAAAGTATTTTGTTATTTACAGCTAGGCTCTTAAAGAACTTGATGAATAAAATATAAATGGAGCTTTAGTTACCCCCTTTCTATTGAAAAGAGTCAATGAAATCACTGATGGAATGAGTTCAAAATCTAATGTTGCTTTAATTAGAAATAATGCAAGAGTAGGAGCTGAAATAGCTATATAATTGTTGTAAAAACGATTGGTATATATTTAATAAGTAAAAATAATATATTATATATCTGTAATACTAATTAATTTATTGCTTTTATCTTATACTACAATTAATCTTAAATCTGATACTATGTCTAAAATTATTGATAATTGCAAAAACAAATTTTTAGATCTTAACAATATAAACTATACAAATTAAGATTGGAAAAATACAATTTTAGATTTCTATTAAGACTTAATTTTCTTAAATATTTGGGATATTATTAATATGCTATACAAATAACTCTTTGCTTGATTATTCTCCTTTCATTTTAAATTAAATCATGAGTTTAACAACAAATTTAAGTAATACAATAAGATGCAAAATTAAGATTGCTATAGATACTTTAATTTTAACATTATTATTCATAATAGAAAATACACAGGATTGAATTTTTTGTAACACCTTTATCAAGGTATACGTAAATAACTACTTTGAAGTAGATGACAGGTTTATATCTACTCAATCAATGAGTCTTCTTTATAATCTAATTAGATCATTATTGGCTCTTGTGTTTAGATTTAAAATCTGAAGGAAAGAAATTATATACTCTCATAAGTAGTATATAAATCAATTTACACACCTGTTCTTTGAAATTTCGCAAAAAAAATCTCCAATTCCAATTAGTCTAATTATTACACAAAAAAAATAATTCCAGGAAGATTGAATCCTATGATTCAATTTCTGAGACTAAGAATCCATTTGCCAAATTCAATAAATTACAATTCCATGCCAACGAAAGTTTATTTGACAGAATATAGTAATTACCGATTTAATTCATTGAAGTAAATAATTTAAGTATTTTTAAAGATATATTAACTTTGAGAATTACAATACCTTTTTCTAAAAGTTCTTCCTACTCAGCATTAAATTCAGGTAGATAGATTATCTTAGACTTAATTCTCTTTCTCTTCATGTTAATCATAAGGTTTTTGAAAAATAGAAATGATGACGATATATTTGTAATAATAAATCTCAAATTAAAAATAAAATTATTTTTTACTAATCCAAAATCGTATTGAAATGTTATAATGATGTAATATTTTAATTATAAAATTCTACTATTTAAACGCGTTCATATATAACATTTTTTTTAATTATTTTATTTTGTTACCAAATTCTATTATGGACTTTTGTTAGATATAAGGCCATGAAAAAGAGGAACTTTTATATGTTTGTAGCGAATTATAGTGTATTGAAATGAATAATAATAAACTGATATGTTAAAAATGTTTGTGTACACATAGAGGAATGAATTATAATGGATTAAGGGACCAGGCTATTAATAATTATAATCAATACACCCAATTGTTGTAAAATGATATTGATGAAAATGAAAACATGAAAAAAAGCATCGAGGAATCTCTGAAAGAGTTATAAGGAAAGATTATGAAAGTCCTTTCAATTTTCTAAAAAAATATTTTCACTTTTATTGATCAATAAAGTTAAAGATTACGAACAAATAAATGTTAAGCATAATCATTGATGCAGGATCAAAATCCATCACTTGACTCCTATATATTTTTTGCTAAGTTTTCTGATAAAAAGGCAAAATAGAAATAGGAAACCACAAAATAACAAATTAAAGCAATTGTTACTGATTTAATAGATGATCTAAATTAAAAAGTAGAATATCTCAAGTAGCCAGATGTTAATGAATATAAAATTATTGAATTTGAACTACAATCATTTGAAATAAAATCAATTTTAAAGAAATAACTACCTTACAGCTATTGCTAAGAACATTACTCTAATAAAACTTCAATATGCATCAACACTAAATGTTTAGAATAAAATAATTTAGACTATCATTGTTTAAGATGTAGCAAGACTTCTCATGTCGAAGATTTTAAAAATGATTATTTAGTGGAATATGATAAATTGAAAAAGGATTAGAAAATAATGTAAAATATTGTAGTGAATAAAAAATAATGCATTCAAGAATATGCTTAAAAATTAGCAAATAATTTGATAAATCAAATAAGAATTGAGCAAAAAGAATAATATTCAAAATATGAAATAGCCATAGAAAATGTAAAAAGTCTTCATTAGTAATTTGAAATTAATTTATCAGTTTAAGACACTAAATATGTGTTTGGAAATTTAATATTATAATTTATTACATAAAAGTAAGAAAAAATAGAATTCGAATTAAATTAAGTATAGTAAAATTTTGAAGAAAAGTTAAAATGGTGTTGTAAAATGGAGAAGCAAAAATTCTTAGAATAGTGTGGATTTTTAGAACAGAAATAAGATGAAATTTTGAAACTTCAAATTTGCTAAAAAGAATTAAAAGAAGTAATAGATCAAAAGGATTAATTGCTAAAAATTGCGGTTTCAGAAAATAACTTAAATTTGATATTAAAAAATATAGAGGAAATTAAAAGAGAAAAAAACGAAATTCAAAACTTATAGAAAATGAATAAAAGTTTATAGGAATCATTGGATAATCTATAAAAATAAATTCAAATTTAATAGAATACAAATGAAAGTTTACAAAAAGAAATTGATAATTCAAACATAGAAAAATTAAATCTAAAAACAACAAATGAAATGTTAAAATTGACTGTTGATAATCAAAAGAAAGAAAATGAAAATTTAAAGAAAGAAAATGAAAATTTAAAGAAAACCAATGAAAGTTAATAGTTGACTATTGATAATTTAAAGAAAGACAATGAAAATTATAACAAAACAAATGAAATTTAAAAATTGACTGTTGATAATCAAAAGAAAGAAAATGAAAATTTAAAGAAAACCAATGAAAGTTAATAGTTGACTATTGATAATTTAAAG